ATGCTCTCAATCTCTCAAAACATCTGGTGAGAATTAGCTGAGGAGTAGCCATGGTGACAATTTGTGAGAATCAGAACGGCTGTCAAGATGGAAGTCTGGCTTTGAACTAGTCATCCCACTACAAACATACCTCCTACCTACCCTAGAAAAGCTCTGCTTGCTCTTTGACATCAGAGTTTTTTTCTTTTCTTTTCTTTTTTCTTTAAACACAGTTTTGAGACACTTGTTGTTTGGTTTTGCTATTGTAAGAGCTATTTGTTCTTATTCTACCAGGGGTATTAGAGTTTGTGGTCTCTGCCTTCGACTAAGGGAGGGTGATCCCAGCTCATCACTTTGGTAGACATTTTGTTAGAGTTAAGAAGCCCCTTAGTTATATTCCCAGTTTTACAATTAAGCAGGGTGTATCTATATAAGACAAAGAAGACACTGCAACTCCCAACTAGTTGGGTTGTTTTTTGTTTGTTTGTTTGTTTTACATTCTAGGAATAAGTTAGCAAAATACGTACAGTTTTAGTGTGATTTCTGGGCCAAGAATTAGAGTAACTTCCATGGGTTTCCATCCCAGTCTAGTTGAGAACAGGCACACCTGGCAGTTTAGTGGAGTGACTAGGACCCTGGGTTTGGATGTCAGGCAAACCAGGAGTAAAATGTTGGCACATATCCTTCTGATTATTTTTCAGAGTACAAACCAACATATTTTTTCTTTTCATAAAAGTAGGACAATATTTTATAATTTGTTCAGTAATTTGTGTTTTTAACTTAATTTGTAGAAATGAATACATTACTTAATATCAATCTGTAGCTTATAATGTCTGTGTAGCATTTTACTGTATGTACTTAAGCAGCCCTCTACTATTTATTTAGATTGTTTTTAATTCTTTGTTTTTTTCTTTCTAAGTATAGCTGACACACAATGTTATATTAGTTTCAGGTGCAACATAGTGGTTCCATAAGTTTATATGTTATGCTATGCTCACCACAAGTGTAGGTACCATCTGTCACCATACAACACTACTATAATACTATTGACTAAAATCCTCACACTGTGCCTTTTGTTCCTGTCACTTATTCATTCCATAACTGTAAGCTTGTGCCTCCCACTCCCTTCACTCATTTTTTTCTACCCTCCCACTCCTCCTCTCAGGCAACCACCAATTTCTTCTCCATATTTATGGGTCCATCTGCTTTTTTTGTTTGTTCATTTGTTTTTGTTTTTTTTTTTTTAGGTTTTACATATAAGTGAAATCATATGGTATTTGTTTTTGTCTCTGACTTATTTCACTTAGCATAATAACCTCTATATCCACCCATGTTGTCCCAAATTTAATTATTTGCTTTTATGAATACTGCTGCAATTAATAACCTCATAGAAACTTATTTCTGATTATTTCATTAGTATTAAGGGCAGACAGGAATCTTTTCCAAACTGTATGACTATTTTAAAAAGCTTTTCATAATACTGCAAAATAACTTCCAGAACAGTTATCAAGAAATAAGAGCGAACAAAATTTTTGTACTGATAGAAATGACCTAGGAGAGAGAAAAACTGATACTTGGTAGTAAAGGCAGAATAGCCAGAGCAATGTCCTTGAGGAGGTGAGAGGGTATGGGATCTTAGTGCCCAGATTGGGTGGGGGGTGATTTTATTTTATTTTATTTTATTTATTTATTTTTAGATTTTACTTATTTTTTAGAGAGCAAGCGAGAGAAACAGCATGAGAAGGGAGAGGGTCAGAGGGAGAAGCAGGCTCCCCGCTGAGCCGGGAGCCCGATGTGGGACTTGATCCCAGGACTCCGGGATCATGACCTGAGCCAAAGGCAGTCGCTTAACCAACTGAGCCACCCAGGCGCCCTGGGGGGTGATTTTAAATAGGAACAAGGAGGACTTATCTTTGGTAGAAAGCAGGAAGGTATAGTATGTGGGAGAAGATGCTAGAAGGTTGACAGCGTGGTGGTGGGAGCAGAAGCTCTGGTTGCTTCAAATTTCTTGGAGAAGCAAAAAACAAGGTCATGAGTTAGAGTGAGGGCAGAGGAGAAGATGAAGCTTTGAGAGGAGAAGATGGTAAAATAAAGTTGATTCTCATTATTTGTGGATTTCATATTTGCAAATTCACCCCTTTGTTAAAATTAACTTGTCACCCCCAGATCTGTACTCTCAGTGTTTTCATTTGCAGATACATGCACACTCTGAGCTGTGAAAAATTGTGGTCACCCAACATGTACGTTCCCAGCTGAGACTGAACAGGGTGACACTCTGCCTTTTTGTTTCAGCTCTCATACTATAAGAAAGTGTCTTTTTTTTTTAAATTTTATTTTATTATGTTATGTTAGTCACCACACATTACATCATTAGTTTTTGATATAGTGTTCCATGATTCATTGTTTGTGTATAACACCTAGTGCTCCATTTACGTGCCCTCCTTAATACCCATCACCAGGCTAACCCATCCCCCCACCCCCTCCCCTCTAAAACCCTCAGTTTGTTTCTCAGAGTCCATAGTCTCTCATAGTTCATCTCCCCCTCTGATTTCCCCCCTTTCATTTTTCCCTTCCTACTATCCTCTTCTTTTTTTTTTTTTTTTTAACATATAATGTATTATTTGTTTCAGAGGTACAGGTCTGTGATTCATCAGTCTTAACACAACTCACAGCGCTCACCATAGCACATACCCTCCCCAACGTCCATCACCCAGCCACCCCATCCCTCCCACCCCCCACCACTCCAGCAACCCTCAGTTTGTTTCCTGAGATTAAGAGTCTCTTATGGTTTGTCTCCCTCTCTGGTTTCATCTTGTTTCATTTTTCCCTCCCTTCCCCTATGATCCTCTGTCTTGTTTCTCAACTGATATGAAGAAAGTGTCTTCTTCATGGTATATTTAGATGGTACACCATCTAATATATGGTATATATTTAGCATTTTGTGCTTTTTATTGGTGATTTTGCTGTTTACATTGCCCCCCTTCCAGGCATAGTGCTAAAGTGCAAGAGCAAGGAGGCTGTGGCATGCCTTATGGAGAAAATATGTGTATTAGATAAGCTTTATTTAGGTATGAGTTATAATGCTATTGACTTGTAAGTTCAATGTTGGTGCATCAATAATATATATTAAATAAGATGTTTTTAAATGAAAACACACACACAAAAAACAAGGTTATACACGATCAGTTGATGAAAATGTGGCCAGTTAAGTTCCTAAAACTTAACTCTGTATTTTTGCTAGGAGCACTGGTTCAGTATGCATTAGTTCACTGTTGCTGGTGACTTCAAAGGATGTGACTGCAGCAAATAACAAAAATTGACTGTACTTTTCTAGAAGAATAGGAGAGTGAATGAAATAGGGAACTATAACATGATTGTTGGGCATCATAAAATAAAGGTCCACTTGCCTTAAAATTATGAATTTGAAGTAGGATCAATCAATGTGATTGGGTGTTTTCCTCCAGCCATATTAGCTGTACAGATACAGGTATGAAATATGCAGACAGCTGGTTTTAACTAGGACTGTGATTTTGCCAAATGAATATGGTGAGGCCAGGCAGAAGTTGAGGTGTTAAGAGTGTATGCAAGGGAGTGGTTATGATGGTGTCCCTTATGGCTTATGTCTTTGTGTGTGTGTACATTTTATTTATTATCCTTTCAGTGTAGAGGGAGTCAAGCATATTTTTCAAAGTGTGAGTTTCAAAACGTACTTATTTCTCTGGTATTCCTCCAGAAGAATAAGGGCTGCTTCCCAAGACACATAAACTATGATTAATATATTTGATTAGGAGAGACCAGAATTTGACAGCAACTACTGATGGACAGCCAGCTTTCATTGCTTACTTTATAGTTGCTGAATACCTCCCAGAAAATCAGGCATTGTACAGATTTATCTCTTTTTCAGTGTGGAATTCAAGATTTTAAGTTTTCTGATGTCAGTTTGTCAAGATTAGAATCCATGTTCCACCAAATACTAGCAAGATAAGCTTGTAAATCTGGTGACTGTGTTGTGGCTTATTAAACTCAGATAAAACAACTACTGATATCATCATACTGTATTTGCCATACTCAATGAAATTTTCTCCAGTGGACCACCACTACATTCACCAATTGGAGCTTTAAAAAACAAAACCTTCCCCAATCAAGAACTAGTAAATTGGAAGACCAGAACAATTTATGTCATATAAAACCACCAAATTTACAAAATTGATTATAATATTTAATATGCCAGTGTAAAAAATTTTTAATGTTAATGGTACATATGTGTTGATTAAAACTTATTTTCCTCCAAACTCCAGAATTCTATTATTGATAAGTACAGCAATTTCATATGGCATAAACTTTCCTAGAGAATAGAAAAAGAGGATATTTCCCAACTCATTTTTGAGGTCAGTACAATTGTGACACCAAAATCAGACAAGGACTATATAATAAAAGAAAATTATAACACAATATCACTCATTTATCTACATAAAAAATCCTAGACATGATAAAAGCATACTGAATTCAGTAACATAAAGAACAGAAATTATATTCTGACCAAGTTGGGCTTATTCTAGAGATGGAGTGATTACCATTAGAAAAATCTTTAAATGTAGTCATATTAATATAAAAGAAAAAAGTACAAACACCTTAATAGGGGCACAAAGAGAATTTGGAAAATTCTGTACTCATTCATGATTTCAAAAAAAAAAAAAAAAGCTCTTGGTAAAGCCATGGTAAGAAAGCCTTTAATGTGACTAAGGTTATATATTCAAAACTTATACCAAACTTCATAGGGGTAAAACATTAGAATCATCCCATTTGAAAATCAAAAACCCATTAATACTATGTCCTTTCTACATTATTCTGGTAGTTCTGGATAAAACAGTACATCAAGGAAAAGGATAATATAAGGATTAGAAAAGATGAAATAAAATTGTCATTATTCACATCAGACTGTCTACATAGAAAACCCAAAACAATCTTATCTGTCTTAGCTATAAAATGTTCATTTAAATTCATATAAAAAAACTACTTACATTTCTTTCAAAGACATCATATCGTTTACTTCTGTGGAAAAATAAAAACAAAAATAAGCTCAGTAAGAAAACAAAATTAAAGAGGAAATATTGTTGCAAATTCTCAATAGCATAAATAGAATCATATTTATATCATGTTTACAACTCATAGTCAATTTTCAGCTGACCAAATATTGACATTTCATGGGTACTCCTCTAATATATATTTGGAATAATCTGTTTCTTCAAAGTTTGGCAGAACAATGAGTTTGTGAAAAACTGGTGAAAATTAACATTTGTAATCTAGTTAATAGTAACATGCCAATGTCAATTTACTGATTTTGATATTGTACTACAGTTATAAAAGGTGTCACCATTGGGGAAAGATGGGTAAAGGGTTCATGGGGTTCTAGTTCATTCTCTTTTGCAACTTTTTGTAAATCTAAAATCATTTCAAAATAATAGAAAGTTAAAAAGAAAATACATGGGCCTCTTGTTGATGACTTTCATTAACATTTTTTTAATCAAACAGAAAGCATGTAGCACTTATTTCTTAATCCAGCTCATTGTTGCTCACATTAACTAGAAATGGAGTCCCTTAAAAGTCCTGTGTCAAAAAACTAAAGTTTTCACATTTGTGTTTCTCAAAGCTTGCACTATAGAATTTGATCTCTGCAGTAGTAAGCTCATGGGTATTAATGGTTGCTGTCTAAAAAAATCCCAGGAAGGTCATCTGTCATCTATAGTTCTCTGTCATGCATCCAGATTCTACATTAGTATAAATAATCTAGGCTTAATTGTAATTAAAGAGATAATCATGGATGGTGTCATCTACTCAATGATGTTCATAAAACTTTCATAAAGATGATAGTTTAACCCACTGACAAGAGGTTATAATTGGAACATGATTGTAGCAAGTCCTCTAACTAGCTTTGCATCCTTTGGTTTCTAATACCAATTTAAAATCACTTTGATTCATTTGGCACCATGGTTCCTCAATTCCATTTCCAGTCTCTGGATTCAAAGATCATTCTATGCTTTAACTTAAAAGTTCTCCCTCTGCTCCCAGGTGTAGAGGCATCTCTGCAACTGACCAGAAGAAACCGTTTTGTCATCTCTCCTGTCATAGTTGCACTAAGTGCACTCAGCCCACCATGTGGTCCTTCGTTTGTCATTCTAATGGATCGTTGGGCAGCTGCTATAAAGGGTGTCTATACAAAAACACCATGATCAGAGACCACATTCAAGAGAAGTTCAAAGAGGAATGAATAATGTGAGGCTTTTAGCTCTTATTGAATTGTCAGCCTTTTTAAAGTTGAGAGTCAAAAAGCCTTTGAAAAAAAAGTCACCTTGTGAAATGACACAGTTCTATCCACTCTTTTTTTTTTTTTTTGGAGGGATAAAGGATTCAGTTTCATTTATAGAATTTTTAGAAAAACTAATAGCTAGAATTTTAAAGCCACTGGGCTACTTTCCATTTTAAAAGTCTATTTCTAATGTTCTAAAATTAAAATGGCAGAAATATTTTTCCACAACATGGTAATTTCTTTTTCTGCCATAGGTTTTCATGTGTGTCTCAGGCTGGCCCACCAGACAGATGTGCCTGAAATCTTTGCTCTGAAGAGACTTGCCACAGTGATGGGAGAAGAAATCCAAGCACCACTAGAGCATTCCAGGCTGCCAGAGGTCTCTGAGGTAGAAAAAATGAACATGCTTTCCTGTGCTTCTGTACGGTAGAAATGTAGTAAGAGGAAGAGTTAACATCTGAGGACAGTACCATATTCTGAGGTAATCAATGGCCCTTTGGCTGAGAGCCTCTTCTATATACAGCAAAGGGCTGGCCCAAGTTTTCTTTTTTCAGTCTTCCACTGAGCTCTTTTGGATTTTTCCTTTTCTTCATACAGAGACCATCTCCTTAGAGTCCTAGGAAGTGGGCACTTAATGAAAGAAAATTGAGTTAACTTCCTCCTTTAGAGAGCATTTCAAATAAATAAATTTTTTGTGTTGTTATATACATCATTAAAATTGATTTTATCTAAGTTAATATTAGGAAAATGAATTCTAATGATTTTCAGATATTCCCTATCTTTATCCTATAAATATATTATTTCCAATGACTCATCCTTGAGAAATAGGTGACATTTCATAGATAGATAAAGCAATGCTCATAGAAGACAAGGATCCTTACTTTCAGTTGCCAAAGCACTAGGTTCTCAGGTTCTGTTACCACACTTGATTTGACTTGCATCATCTCCAGCTTCTCAACTTTGAGGTTAAAGGGGATCTCTAATGATCCTGGTTCCTGAATCACTTATTTGAGAGGCCAGTCATTTGAAACTGAGGAAATAGGAATAGAATCCCAGCTGACTTTTATTAGAGTGACAAGCAGAAATCAAAGTTGCTGGCTCTATCTTTGCTGAACTTCAATTTAATAAAGTGAGGATGTCTTTCTTACTATTTGAGGATTCTCTAACAGTGGTGTTTGAATCCCTCACCATTATTATTTAAGTTTTTATTTAAATTCCAGTTAGTTAACATACATTATTGTACTCTGATGGTTGGACATGTGGTGCTGAGTATGGAGATGGGCCACAGGGATGGAAATAAGTGTGACCCTATGTGCATGCTTCCCTTAGTCCCCTGTAGATGCAGCTCCATATGAATACACCAGGAGCCAGCCTCAGAACTCTTCTATCCATTGTTCCCAGGGAGACACAACTGTCCAGAGTTGACACTCCAGTCGAAACCCACTTGCCATCCCTGAGCTAACAAAGGAATGAGTTACAGACTCATAGAGGCTAAGAGAGTAAAATGATTTCAGAAATATAGAAAATGATATTTTTAATGAGAGAAAGTTAGAAAATTTACTGACATCTTGCAGAATATCTGAGAGACAATTTAGTAAATGTGCTAGGGAAGTACATTTAGGAAGGCGAATTGCAGAACCCTCTCCATCTTGCTCTCGTATATTAGATATGCACAGGCCAAATATAAATAATTTGCTATTACTTGTTTGATCCCTGTGTTTTGTCAGTTTGGCTAGTTGAGAACTGACAATGTGGCAAGTCAGCTAATTGATATTTGTGTGTGCCTACTGAGTGCTGGAAACTTTGGCAGACAGTAACAAATAACTAAACAGAAGTATTATTTAATGTCGGCTAATGAAAACTGTTGCTTCAACACAATGACTGTCATTTTTAGTGAGTGACATGGATTTTTTTTTCCTGTTAAAATTTACATTTAATCCCAAATATAAGGCAGCAGTGCATAGTGGTTAAGAACACAGACTGTAGCCAGACTGTGCTCTTTGGCTCAAGTCTCAACTCTGTCACATTATGGCTTTGTGACATTGGGTAAGTTATTCAAGCTTTAAAAATGAGGAAAATAATACCTACATCATGTGATTATTATTAGAATTAAATGAATTCATATTTGAACACTGCTTAGAACAATGGCTGGCAAGTAATACTACGCCAGAGTTTATTAAATAAAAAATCTCTTCTTAAAGTGTGCTAACATGGAATAACTGTAGATATTATCAAATCTAGTTGAATTGCAATAGATATGATTATCTCTGTCTTTTAGTTAAAAAAGCTAAGACCCAGAAAAATAAAACATCTTGGCTAAGGCTCCAATAATTAGCAAAACTGATAGTCATGTCTATTTACACTGCCTCTGAGGCATATGTAGCCACCATCAACATCAAGACAAGGCCACCCACAAGCAAAAAGATTACAATTCATTGAAAGCTCAGATAATTATTAGCATTTTTCAGCAATAAATTATTTTTTAATTAAGGTATGTACATTTTTTAGACATAATGCTTTGTCCATTTAATAGACTATAGTACAGTATAAACATAATTTTTACATGTGCTGGGAAACAGAAAAATTTTTTGACTTGCCATAGTCACTTCATTGCAGTGGTCTGGAACCAAATTCACAGTATCTCTGAGGAATGCCAGTACAAAGAGCATAACTGACATGATGGTGAAGCCAGAGGGGAAGACTACTGGTTCCTTTGTCCTGGATAATGATACCCAACATTGCCAATAACTGGATTATTTTTCTGTGTGGTTTCATTCCACTGACTGAATTTGATTGTTTTGTCTCTAAATCATTTTGTCTGCATGACCATAATTATCGCAATAAAAATAGCAAACATTCATCACCAACGAAATTTCCATATATCCCTTGTTTTAGGCAATCACTGATCTCCTTCCAAAAAGAAAATAGCTTAAGATTAGTTTACATTTTCTAGAATTTTATATAATGGAATCATACAGTATGTACTATTTTTTTTAATCTGGTTTCTTTCACTCATGTTTTCAAAATCATTTATGCTTTTGCTTTTTATTGAAGAATAGTAACCCACTGTATAGTGTTATAGGTTGAATTGTGCCTCCCCAACCCCCCCCCAAAAAAAGATATGTTGAAGTCCTGAACTCCAGTACTTTAGAATGTGACCTTATTTGGAAATAGGGTCTGCACAGAGGTAAGCAAGTTAAAATAAGGTTATTAGGGTGGACCCTAATCTAATATGACTGGTGTCCTTAAAAAATGGGAAAATTTGGACACAGAGAAATGCACAGAGGGAAGATGATATAAAGACACAGGGTGAACATCAACTACAAGTCAAGAAATTCCTGAGGCTGCCAGAGGCTAGGAGAGAGGCCCAGAACAGATCTCTTTCATAGCTCTCAGAAGCAACCAACATTTTGGATTTCTAGCCTCCAGAACTGTGAAACAATAAATATCTCTTGTTTAAGCCTCCCATTTTGTTATGGCAGCCCTATGAAACTAATACATGTGAATAAACAAAATGTTTTTGTCCATTTAGCTCTACTGATAGACAGTTGGGTTGTTCCCAGTTTTGAGCTATTAATAAAAGCTGCTATGAACATTAATGGCTTCTTGTAGACATATGCTTTCATTTCTTTTGGTTAAGTATCTAGGAGAGGAAGGATGGATTATATAGTAAGCATGTGCTTAACTTTTCTCAGAAACTACCAAACTCATTTCCAAAATGATTGTACGATTTAAAAATCTGACCTATGAGAGGCAGACCAGGAGAGTTCTATTTCCTCCACATCCTTGCCAATACTTGGTTTGACTTTAGTATTGTCTCATGACCAAATCAATACTTGGTCTTGATTTTAGACATGCTAATAGGGTGAGTAGTGGTATTTCATTGTGATTTTAATTTGCATTTTACTAATAACTAATAATATCTTGTCATATGCTCATTTACCATCTACATTATCTTCTTTGGTGAAGCATCTATTCATTGTTTTTGCTTGTGTCGCTGGTTGTGCATTTTCTTATTACTGAGTTTTGAATGTTTTTTATATGTTCTGGATATAAATTCTTTATTGATTTATAAATATTTTCAAACTTTAAAAAATTGTTTTGACTTTGTTTTATACTTTTCACCATATACTAACTCAAAGTAGATTATAGTCCTGAATATAAAACCTAAAATTATAAAACTTCTAGAAGAAAGCAAGGAGGGAACATTTGTGACCTTGGGTTAGGCAAGATTTCCTCAATATGACACCAGAAGTATAATCCATAAATGAACAAATTGGTAAAATAGACCTTATCAAAATTAAAAATGTCTGCTCTTTAAAACTGATGGTTACTGGAGGGCAGGTGGTTGGAGGTGGTGGGGATCAGTTAAACAGGTGATGGGGATTAAGGAAGGCACTTGTGATGAGCGCTGGGTAATGTATGTAAATGATAAATCACTAAATTCTATACCTGTAACTAATATTAAATTGTATGTTAATTAAATGGAATTTAAATAAAAATTTGGAGAAAAAAAAGACTCTTAAAGAATAAAAGACAACAAAATGAATGAAAGTATTTCCAAAACATAAATCTGTTCAGAACTTTTATCTATAATATTCTTGAAACTCAATAATAAGGAAATAATCAACTCAATATTAAAAATGGGCAAAGTGTTTTTTCCTAGTCTGTAGCTTGTCTTTTCATTTTCTTTTTTGTTCCAGAAGTTTAATAGTTTGAGATTTTATACTTAAATCTAGGACTTACCTTGAGTTACTTTTTATATATGGTATGAGGTATAGATTGAAGTCATCTCTCTTTTTTGCATAGGATATCCAATTTTTCCACTGAAATGTCTTTAATGCCTTGGTACCTTGGTCAAAAATCAGTTGTTAATATTTGTTGATATGTTCATATATCTTCGGAATCTTTCTTATTTCTATTGATCTATTTATCTTTATGCCAATTAAGACAATCATTGTCTTGATTACTTCTGTTTTATAATAGCCTTGAAATCAGGAAAAATTAATTCTCTTTTTCTTTTAAAACTTGTTTTAGCTAATTTAGATTTTTTTATTTCAATATAAATTTTAGAATTAGCTTGTCAATTTCTACCAAAAAAATCCAAGTGGGATTTTAATTGGGATTGCACTGAATACTTTAGGTCAATTTGGAAAGAACGGACATCTTTTTTTTTTTTAAGATTTTATTTATTTGAGAGAGAGCATGAACTGACATCTTAACAATAGTGAGTCTTCAGAGCCATGAACCTAGCCTATCTATTTAGGTCTTCTTTAATTTCTCTTATTAATGTTTTGTAGCTTTTAGTGTACAGGTCTTGCATATTTTTTGTCAGATTTATTCCTAAATATGTCATATTTTGGGATAATATTGTATGTTGTTTGTAAATTTCAATTTCTGATTATTTGTTGTTAATACTTAGAAATGCAATTAATTTTTGTATATTAAACTTGTATTCTGCAACCTTGCTAAATTCACTTACTAGTTCTAGGAGCTTTTATTTTTTATTTTGGTAAAATTTCATCAAATTTTCTATATAGATAGCCATATTATCTACAAATAAGGAATTTTACTTCTTTTTAAATCAGAGTAATTTTTATTCCTTTTTCTTGGCTAATCACAGTAACTAG